GCAGGTCCCTGTGTCTGCTGAGGGCTCCAGAGCTGCCCCAGCACTGCAGGGGGGTCTCGTGGGCTCCCCAGAGCAGGGCAGAACCCCCCTGGACCTGCTGCCCACGCTGCTGGGGGTGCAGCCCAGGCTGTGGGACATCACCGGAGAACATCCAGCTTTCCATCCCTCCCTCCTCTGTGGGGCTACTCCCCACCCCTTCCCCTCCGAGTTTCACCCAATCCCCTCCTCACTCCAGACCCCTCGAGGGGCCTGTGGGGCCCGGGACCCCCCCCAATTCCTCCTCACCGGCCGCTAGCTCCCCCCCGAAGACGAGGCCCTTGGCCCCCGAGGCCGTCACGCAGTACACCAGCGAGTCCAGCCGCAGGTTGAAGTTGATCAGGGCGGCTTCCACCAGCCCGAGCCACAGCCCCACGAACTCGGGGCGACTCTCCATGAAGATGGCCACCACGTCGCCCGGGAGGTAGCCCTGCTGGTGGAAGCAGTTGGCCACGGCGTTGGAATACTCGTCCAGCCGGCGGAAGCTCCACTGCTCGCCCGTGGCCTCGTAGATCAGCGCCGTCTTCTCAGGGTGCCTGCGGACCACGGCCTGGAACATCTTGGGGATGGTGCTCTGGGCTTTCTGGTGCCTCCGCAGCTCGTACTTGACTCGCAGCCGCTTTTCTCGCAGCAGCACCGAGAGGCCGCTGAGGAGAGAGGAAGAGGAGGAGCAGCTTCAATTCCAGCCCGGCTAAAGGAGAAGGGACGTGGGCTCGGAACCCCTCGGGTGGGCAAACGTCTCATCGCTGCTGCTCGAGCGCTGGCACGGGATGGGAAATAAAACCCAGCAGCAGTTCTGGGGCTTCCCAGGGGAGAAACGCCGGGGAAAGCTCCTGAGAGACCAGGGTGAAGGTTCAAGGGGGAAATGACGTCTTTTAACAGTGTCTTATCATGGAATTGGTGGGGCTGGAAGAGACCTTGGAGTCCAAATGCCACCCAGCACGGCCGGGACCCCCCACCCGTGTCCCTCACCCCACATCTCCACGGCTTGGGGACCCCTCCAGGGGTGGGGGCTCCACCACTGCCCTGGCACAGCCCTGGGCAACCCTCCAGGGGCAGAAATGGTTCCTCAGGGGCAACCTCAACCTCCCCTGGGGCAACTTGAGGCCGGTTCCTCTCCTCCCATGGCTTGGGGACAAGAGATCTCCCCTCTCCCAGCTGGCTCCAAGCTCCCTGGAGCCTTCTCAAGAGCAGAATTGTCACCTCTGCAGTTCGTTGACAGCACACGAGGAGCAACTGGCTCCAGAAAAGAACAAACCAGGCTCCTCTCATGGGGCTTTTTTCCCTTCTCTCTTCCATAATTTATATAATTTTCTATCAATTTTTCCCTCTCTTCCATAATTTACATCATTTTAAGACTTTTTTCCCCCACTCTTCCATAATTTGCATAATTTCAAGTCACTTTTTTCCCCCTTCCATAGTCTACGCTATTTAAAATCTTTCTTTTCCTTACTCTTCCATAATTTACACCATTTCAAGTCACTTTTTCCCCCTTTCTTCCAAAATTTACATCATTTTAAGTCACACTTTTCCCTCTCTTTCATAATTTACATTATTTTAAGTCCTTTTCTTCCCCCTCCCTTCCATAATTTACATCATTTTAAGTCACATTTTCCCATCTCTTATATAATCCACATAATTTCAAGTCACTTTTTTCCCCCCTCTCTTCCATAATTTACATCATTTTAGGTAATTTCCCCCCCTCTCTTCTATCCTTCACATCATGTAAAGTCTCCCTGTTCCAGCTGCAGCTCTATGCGGGTCGAGTTGCAGCCAGGCTTTGGAAGAGCCCCCAGGAACTGGGACGTCGTTCCAGCCCCGCCCCGGCCCCCCCGGGCGCCGAGCGCCGTGCCAAGGCCACAACAGAGGAGCCTTTTCAGCGCCCCGGGCCCGAGGGTTCCGCTCTGCCCCCCCGGCTCCCCGGGCCCTGCGGGATCCAGGGGGATCCTCGCCGAGGGCAAGGCGCCGCCG